TAGTACCGAACTAGACGTAACGTAAAAGTAACACTAGTCACTGGAGTCAGAGACGACCGACGTCGATCTCGTCCTACCTCTCCACACCACTCTCTCTCTCTCTCTCTCTCTCTCTCTCTCTCTCTCTCTGTGTAACAGTCATACATTGATTTACTGCTTTTTTTAATTGTTGACTCTACATTGATTCACCGTTTTATAAAAAAGACTCGAGATTCTCAGAAAGAATACAACTGTCATATATTACTAGCCTACAAAACATACCTCCACAACGTCAATGAAATCTTGCTTCTCATTAAAAGTGCCAATCCACTTGGTATGATCAGCAGTCCTGAAAACTAAGCAATATAAGAACAAGAAACAGAAGCTACAGGCACTACAATAAAAAAATGCAGATCATCAATACTTTTGGAAGAAACACAACCACCAAAGTTTCCAGGATTGTTGATTTCCTTTTGAAAATGTTTATCAAGAAAGAGATTCACAATAAAACTTAGAGATTTCTTTCTTCTTAATTGGAGTCTGAATGGAAACAAGACCAGAAAAAATCTACCAATATGAGATTTTTACATTTTTAATGCTATGTATGGTCTCAATAATTAAGTATTCAATTTGTCCTTTTGTAGGTGAAGAAACTCATTTTTTAATTCCAATGGACTAGAGAAATATTGGGAAATACTGCAAATGACCAGTACCTTCTAAACTTGATAGAAATAAAAACACACAGAAAGGAAACTAGAGGATTCACACCCTTGACTCCAGAACTCACTATCCAAGACCTGGAGCAAATGGACATTCAAAAGCAGTTTTTCCTTACACTGCTGGTACATTTATTCAGAAACTAAATCAAGACTCCAAGGTCCGACCAGCTCTGCTTCCACTAACATTAAGGCTTACAATTACTTTTATATCCAAGTCAGCTGCAATATAACTAATCCAGAAAAATAGTATTTAGAAGACTGTCACAGCATCAATGGTTTTTCCACAAGTCATTATGTTCTTACAAAAGCTTAGCTTGCTATAGACAGAGCCCAAGTCATAAAAATAGCAGTTGGAGGTACCAAACTAGGTTGAATTATATGTGAAAAGAATTACTGGTCCGGCAGAAGAATACTGTGCATTTGCTCCCTCGAGTAAAATTCACATATAAATTTTTATTGGACCGCAAATTTTGGGGATGTAACCTCTAAAACCTAATAACCAACCTCAAAGAAAAAACATGTAAATAAAACATGTAAATAGAACTCTCTATTTGCCTCAAAAAAGCTAACATCCCAAGGTTGAACATGAACCATCCAATTTTCAGATGCAAAGATCTAGGTGTTCAAGAAGTTAAAATCCAAAATTCTATTTTTTTTTCCTTTTTTTTTTTTAATTCTCATCTGGTGATACTTAGATGGATCCCAAAATTTCAGATCAAAAAAATCCTCCAAAGTTACTTTTTTACCCAAGGGAGTTGTTGTACAGTATGCTCCCACAGGAGCACGACACACACTCGAATTATATTTATCTTCCCAAGTTCTTGACTGGGCCTCCAGGTATTTAGAAATGAGCATCAATTTCCCGCTGCAAGTATGTTGAAATGAAGAGGCGGCGGTGTATTCACCATCGGCAACCTGAATCTAATACGGAAAGGTTTACCAGCACTACAGCTGAAGTCAATAGATCGAGCAACGGAGTATAGGCACGAAAGGGGAGTCAGGAACTGGTGAGACAATGGTAATAAGAGCAAAGCATCTGATTGAGAAGGAACTGATGACTAGGCAAATCACTTATTGGCAAAAGTGACTGAGATGGCTGGATGATGTACGGATGGAAAACTCTCTTTCTTGCTTCCAAGGTAATGGTAGTGTGGTAGTGTTAACCTAGTAAATGGTGTTCCATGTCTATTTCCCAATGTGCATCCATTTCTCTTGCTTCCCTGTGGTCCATAGAAGATGCTCTATGCACCCAAGTTAATTAAGAATCATCTTGATTCCAACTTAATCAAAGTTGGAATAGTTTTGCTACTGTCCTACCTTCTTGTTTTGTTCATGCAGGACGTTGTCATGGATGAATTCCAAGAAAATTAGATTGTGAGAGAGATAGAGTGCACAATTCACTCACCTCACCCCCACCACCCGAACCCAAACCCCCCCAACCCACCCACCCACCCAAAAAAAAAAAAAGTGTGCCTGGGGAGCTTTTCTACTTGGCAAGGTCAAGTATCTCTTCTTAAAAGATGGATGGCCAATAATCAGGTCAAGCACATGTCAAAGAATTAAGAATTGATATCTTTTAGCTATCCCCATAGAGAAACTAAAGTTCATAATAAAACGGAGTTAACACTTCAGAGTTAAATTTTAATGATGAACTAGGCAGAAATAGGAGCCAAAAAATTCGAACATACCTTCCCAGAAACAAGTGCATTCTTATGAAAACTCCAAACAGTTTCATCACCACTAGATTCTCATAGGATGCATAAATATTTGAGATAAGGAAAAAAACGAGAAAGTAAAGCACTAAAGCTATTTATATGCTTCTTGAGTTACGTTTTATAAGTGATATTTTCATAAAGGATAGAAAATTATAAACCAGTCCAAAACTAAGAGATCAAAACATTTAAGGTGGCAAGCAATCCCATAGCTCCAATCTGTAGATTATCCAACATAATCTACCACCATGTCCACATGGACAATAGACTAGATCCAGTACATTAATATTTGACAACCATTTTAAGCATGAATAATTTCCTTCACCACTTTATTGTTTCTAGAAAGAGAACTCTACTAGTTTCCAAATGCTCCATCAGGTCCAATTTGGAAGGCTTTGTAGAAGGAATCGGATGCATTGGTTAGGTGTCAAACATGGAATAGTAGTACTTTTCCCCATGAAAGTAGTTGTAGTTATGTGTTGGAGGAATATGTTGGATATGGGAAAAATAAAAGAACTTTTTTATACTTATAGGATATGTAGACTCAAAAATCATATCAATCGCCAACAAGAATCGGCAACCAAATGGACTCCAAACAAGCTATTATTTAGAAGATGAACTTCTTAACTTTCAAATGCCTCTGAATGTCACCCAATACCCATACTGTTTGCCTAAACAAATGTTCAATCTGCAACCACCATGTAGTGCTGACTGCACCAGTCCCGAATCAGAAGAAAAACTGAATGGTCAAATTGTGCACGTACATGAAGTTTTTCTATTTTACCCTACCCAACTTATACCTCAAACAATATGTAAATGGGCAACAAGTCAAAGATATACGGTTTAGAAATACATTAAAATGTGCAACAGATGAGTATTACCTTTCCTAACCAAAAACATGGATTGCATTTTGAAGAGACCTCCATCCTGGGGCTAAAAGACAACATTTAATTTCCATCAATACTTACAAGAAAGATTGTGGCTAACTTCTCAATTACGTGTAAAGCACGCTTTTCTCTATCTGGCCATGTCTCTTGGTGGAATAAAGCTGAACTTCAATGAGAGCTCTATTGGCAAACCCCAACTAGTGTCAAAGGCTTGTTTCAACATTCTGATGGTCAGCCCTTTGAGATCTTGTCTCTGAACACTTGGGGCTGAACATGTTTAGATGGTTTTTTCGAAAATCATGGGTACAAAATGAATCACCAATCAGCCCAGTTCTATGGAGAGTATATAGCTTTTATAGCATACACTGTTAGCATTATGTTGCATGGTTGTGTCTGAGTAACATAGATACGGATTGTTTCACTAAGTTCGAAGATTATAGCAACTCATATACAATCCAACACATCTTGATCAGCAGAATCAGTTAATGTCCATCAAAAGATCCCCTTCAATCAAGAAAACATGTTGCTAGATTTAACAGTCCCTGTAACAAACATCATCTCAACAACACTCATAAGATCAAAGTACACACAATTTACAGATCATGAGGACACTACATTACACTCTTTCCCTATAGGTTAGTATCAGTCCGATGCTAATATTGGTTCATCTTTAAGTATGACAAAGAAACTGAAATGAGCATTGCATCATCTTGAGTGACAATCCAACATCGATCTCATACAAGAGCAGAAAATCTGTTTACCTAATTATAGACCAGTGGCATCTAAAGCAAATATTTTGATATGAATTTAGCATAAGCATCCAAAACTAGAAGGCAATGGAAATGAAATGCACATAATCTGACTGCCATTTTGTACGATAAAAAGATTATTCTTGTCAATATTTTCTCTTCGTGAGTATCTGCATAGCATTAACTCCTACAAACATTCATACCAATGTAAAAGAATAAAATGTCATGAACAATATAAACACATGGGGAGATAAAACATCTTCATAATAAGCAGAAAAGAAGAACCTCAAACATGAAATACAGTTTCGATCAAATACATGGAAAATTCAAAAAAGCGGGGTAGGGGATGAATCGTACCCTGAATCCATCTTCATGTGATGAGCATTGAAGAAAAATACAGTAGATGGTACCAATGTGATATCAAAATACTTGACATAAACTTGGATATCATCTGAATCTATATCTACTAGAGCAATGGTTGCAAACTTCAAAACTTCCCTCGCTGATTTAGCAAGCTGTTCAAACCAAATAACATATTTGAAGGTTAGAAAGTGTAATCTTCAAAATATATTAGAGCAAGCCGATTGGAATAAACTATCAATTGTATGATCAATGTAACTCTGTAATTAGAGCAAAACCAGGTAAAGAACCTAATGGTGAACCAAACAAGTGATACTGGGACAGCCAAAACTTCAATTGTCAAACTTCAACATATAATATACATGAATGTAACTAAGAATTTAATAGTTACTCTGTTTTTCATTAATAAAGCTTCTTAGATTTCAAGAAGAAAGAAAAAGAAAAGAAATGTGCATGTATATATAAGTTCCATAAAGCTACAAGTCTTGGCAATTCAATAAAGTAAACAGAAAATCTCATCTGTTTGCTGTCTATTTCAACACTAAAACTGAAAAACACATTAACAAGTCCAACACAAAAACCAGAGGTATCTGTTTGCTGCCTATTTCAACACTAAAACTAAATAACACATTAACAAGTCCAACCCAAAAACCAGAGGAAAAACACAAGAAATAAATAAGACGTAACAGCAAAAACATCAAATAAATATAAACCCTAATTAGAAAGGAAAATGCATCCAACAATGATCATCAAAGAACAGCATATGAACCCGAAGTGAATTATTATCAGAGCAAGGCCATTTATCAATTTCCCTACAGAAAATAGGAGATATGGGAACAATGGAAATCAAGAAAAAGGAAAATAGCATCGAAAGAAGACAAGGAAAGAAGAAGCAATAATGAAAAAAAATTAAGCTAGGGTTTCGAAGAAAGAGAGTGTGAGAGCGTACTATGTTATCAAGTTGGAGGCAAGCAGGATCAGATGGCCTTCCGAATCGAAGGACAAGAACTTTGTCGAGGGTATCTCTGATGATGGAGTCCACTTTGCGCTTCTTCGATAAGGTATTGAGGAGGAAACTCATCCTTCTCTCTCTAAGGTGCCTGCGTCTCTGTATTTTCCTTCTCTAACTTCTCTCTCAAAAATGTAGATCGCCGTACTTTCTCTCTCTAGGCAATCGGGATTCAGGAGCAAGCCTTATGGCCGTGGCGGGAAGCAAACAGGGTCGGAATACCCAAGTTTTCCTCTATACAGTACCTGGGTCACCGCCGTTTCCCTCTCTAAATAACATCCAAGTTAATAAAGTATTGGCCGCATTTGGGCAAAGGTTTTGGCCCGGACGGGGCAGCCTTGGTCCGGCCCTATAGGGATTAGGGTTAGGCTAGGACCTGGGGTGGCCGGGCTTGAACCAACACCCATTAAAAATATAAAAATTGTTTCATGCGGCCTGGACTGCATTTCCACAATATGCAATCTAGAGGTATAAAGCATCCATCTTATATATGGATACAAATAGATGGTCCATCTAAAAATAATTGTAACAAACAGGCCAAATGTTTTTTAATATAATTATTGTTTCAAGCTTCCAATTTTATTTATTTTTTTGCATATTCATGATCTCTATGTTAAAGATTATATATTCTCTACAAAATTAGGATCAAATTATTTTTAAAAAATCTATATATTGCCAAGCCCACATTTCTACAATATGTGGGCTGGCTGGCCGCATAGAAACCGTGTCCTTAAAAATATGCATACACACTCATTAAAAATGGTCCCAATTTAAAAAATGGTTGCCTCATATTTGTGCCTTGAATTTGTGGATTTTTTTACACCAAAATCAAAAAATTTATTATTTATTCCCTTTTTTATCCGAGGTCAAAAGTTCAACATTCAAATAGGTGTCATATATTTATGCTCAACTTCTTAACCTCTTTGTAGTATCCCGATGAGTTTAGATATAGATTATTCAAACCACCCATTTGTTATTTTGTAATAAAAATTAATTAATTTAGACATAAAGTGTTTAAGCTGGTCTTTTGTTTAAGAGATAGTATACCGTGTGACCGTTTAGTTTGTTACAATGAGGGCACAATTGCTCTTAGACATTAGAGGCTTGAGGTGTATTACAAAATTCAATATTTTTTGAACAAAAAAATTTGAGTCTGGTCAATGACACTCTTACAACTACCTGATTTGAAATCTAAAAGTAAGAGTAATTACGATTTTTTTGTATAAAAAATAAATGGTTTATTAATATATTTATCCTTTTATTAATTGGTCGATTCATACATACAATGTCCAAACTAAACATTCCCTCGAATAAATAAATAATACAACAGCTAATAGGTACAAACCTAAAGATAAGGTAAAAACGTGGCAAGGTGCTACAACACGGCGTTTTAGGTTACATTCCTACACTATGATTCGATAAAGAATATCAAGTTCATTATTCCTTGGGGTTTGCCCTGCATCCAAAATCAAGGTTTGAGGCATTCCAATGCTCAACAAAAGGCACACCCTAAGGAATAAAAAAATGACATTCTCACTCACTTTTATCAATATTCACGTAACCTAAAAAAAATGCAGTTTCTTCTCTTTTTCCCCGTTTCTTTTATCCTCGTTTTGGTCATGAAAATGTAGGTTTGTAATTACTTTCGTTCTAAAATTGAAAGAGATTTGTGATGTTCAAGAAGCACTATTGTTACCAATGACACTGAAATGACCATCTCACATAAGTGTCTTTCTCATCCTCATTTTGAGAAGGGAAAAAGAAAAGTTAAACTCATAAAACTAGTGCACTAGAGGATGATTCTTGTTTTTTAAAATTCAAGTTGAGAAAGAGATATTGTTCAAACCAAATCGATGGAGGAACTTATAATTCTTTAACATAAAAAGTGATTTGAGGAGTTGATTTGCCATCGAGAAAGGGGGTGAACTTTTTGATGTTTCCCTAGCTCTTTCACTCTTTTGCCCCGGTAAATGATTCCCAAGGTTAAGAATATGCAAACATGTGTGCTTCAAAAGAGAAAAACTTCGTAAGCAAGTACATAAAATCTCGTTGATAGCATAATAGGTCATATGCACCGATGTTTATCTTCAAAAAACGATCATATCAACAGGGTAGAGCTGGGAATGGGCTAGGCTAGCCCTGGACAAGGCCATGCACGAGTCCTTAAAAGCCTAATCGTGGCCTTGCCCAGGCCAGACTAGTTTGGAGGTGTTTATACTCTAAAATGTGGGTAAGGGACTTCGCCCCCGCCTTGGTTTCGAGTGCAAATAAATCAAAGAGTTGGAAGATAATGGATATCGTCAATTTAAATTTGACGTCATTAGTGAAAACCTATAACTCTAGAAACTAGAAATTTGGTGAAAAATAGAAGGTAGGAGAGAGAGCGCGGGAGAAAGAATGCAGAGAGAGTAAAGGAAAAAGAGTTGATGAAAATGGCAATAGTGAAAGTGAAAGGGTCATGCTATATTTAAAGGAACAAAGGAGACAAAGTTGATGAGAAGGGCAAAGAGTGAAAGTGAGACGGGCCATGAGATATTTAAAGGCTGAAGAGGTGGCTTTATGTCCACAAAACTGAAAAGATGCAATGCATATGATATGGATCTCAGTACAACTCTCATTTATAAAGCCATACAATAATTTGTTGCTTCCCGATACATTCAATTGTAACATCAAAATTACCCATTGCTCCATAAGTTGAGTTCTCTTACCGTGAGGTCAAAACCCAACCAACAACCCCCAAATTGTTAATCCTATGTAATGAGCTAAACATGTCATTAAGTTACCAATGGCTCACATATAATAGGATGTCATCCAAGCATTCCCACAATTTACAAGGAATCCAAACACACCACTGGGTTTTCCCTCCAGTGATACAGGAACCACTGGGTTTTCCCTCCAGTGATACATGGTTTTTCCCTCTAGTGATATATCCTATTAAAGCTAAAAACATGGATCCATGTATATGACATTGCCTCATATTAACCACATGTGATTTCACATATACTTCAATATGGTTTTTGTACCATTATTAAAAAAATTAATTTCCAAGAGAAAAAGGGCCTGGCCACATTTCCAACAACTGATAGCTAGTGATTATTGTCTTTCCAAATTTAAGTTGAGAAAGATAGGTAGTTGAGTTGATAAGGAGTAGTTGAGTTGATAAGGAGTTTAAGACTTCCTTGGATGAGAAGAAACATATGAGTTAAGCAACCATTTAGTACAAATGGTTTGTTGTTTGTTTATGATTATTGGATGTTATTTATTGGTCTTCTGACAAGAGTATGATTAATGACTCCTTACGTGAGATGAATATAAATTATTCTTGGATAATGTAATAAAAAGTGCAGGCCCTTGGGTGGGTGCCCCTCGGTAGGGATTGACAGTTTTGGGTGGGCACCTGACGTATGCCTGACGGCGCCGCCAAGTCCTCACGAGTTCTCAAAGGATTCGTTGGAACTCGATCCAAGAGGGATTCATATTAAGAAAGGGTTCTGGTACTCCGAGAGATGTATAAATATGCAATACTCCTACTCCTATATTAGAATTAGAATGAGTCTATTAGAATATTTGATACATAACAAGAACATGAAATCTTTTTTTTCTCTATTTTCATTTTCAATTTTGCCGAACAAAAATCTTATCCTCTTGATAGAGGGTCCCTGATTACTAGTCAAGAATAAAGGTAGAATAATAGATCTATCTGATTCGTACTACAATTATAAATTAGAACTTATGTCAGGAAAGAACACTCTTTTTTAAAAGTTGCTCCTGCTACTCAGCCTAGAGCCTTGAGCATTGTCCAAGGACGTGTTGTAGGAGTAACCCATTACCTTTTGGGTGGAATTGCCACAACATGGGCATTCTTCTTAGCAAGAATTATTGTGGTAGGATAATGGCTAGGAGGATTTGAAAGGCGTCATGGCATTAAGATTTCCAAGCTTCAGCCAATGCTTAGCTCAAGACCCCACTACTCGCCATATTTTGTTTGGTATTGCCAACGCACATGACTTCGAGAGTCATGATGATATCACTGAGGAAGGTCTTTATCATAATATTTTTGCTAGCGCAACTCTTTTGCAGGCTACCAAGAACCCAGGTTGCCTAGTGCCACAAATGCCCCTCAAGTAAGGTGTGACCCATATTTTGTTCAACCATTTCCATGAAATTGCATCGTAACAAGATATATAACTTGGCTATTTGTCTAGACGCAGGCGATGTGGAAAAAACAAAGAAGACCGAAGATAAAGTAGTGAAAACCTATAACTCTATAAATTTGTTGAAAAAGGGAAGGTAGGAGAGAGAACGACGGAGAAGGAAGGGAGAGAGAGATAGCGAGAGAGAACGAAGGAGAAAGAGTTGATGAGAAGGGCAATAGTGAAAGTGAGAGGGCCATGCTATATTTAAAGGAACGAAAGACAAAGAGTTGATGAAAAGGGCGAGAGTGAAAATAAGAAGGGCCATGATATATTTAAAGGTTGAAAGGGTGACTATTATGTCCACCAAACTGAAAAGATGCAATGCATATGATATGGATCTTAGTACAACTCTCCTTTCTAAAGCCATACAATAATTTGTTGCTTCCCGAGACATTCAATTGTAACATCAAGGGATATTTACATAGGGATTGAAATATTTCACCAAAATTACCCCTTGCTCCATAAGTTGAGTTCTCTTATTTTGAGGTCAAAACCCAACCAACCAACCACAAAACTGTTAATCCTATGTAATGAGCTAAACATGTCATTAATCTACTAATGACTCACATATAATAGGATGTCATCCAAGCATTCCCACAATTTACAAGGAATCCAAACACACCACTGAATTTTCCCTCTAGTGATATAGGGAACCACTGGATTTTCCCTTTAGTGATTCAAAGTTTTTCCCTCCAGTGATACATCCTATTAAAGCTAAAAAAATGGATCTATGTTTCCCTCCAGTGATACATCCTATTAAAGCTAAAAAAATTGATCTATGTATATGGAATTGCCTCATGTTAACCACATGGGATTTCACATATATTTCAATATGGCTTTTGTACCATTATTGAAAAAATTAATTCCTATGAGAAAATGGACTTGATAGGCCACATTTCCAACAGTTGACAACTAGTGATTATTGTTTTTCCAAATTTAAAATTGAGAAAGATACGTAGTTGAGTTGATAAGGAGTCGAATACTTCAAGAAACATATGAGTTAAGCAACCATTTAGTAAAAATGGTTTGTTGTTTGTTTATGATTATTGAATGTTATTTAATGGCCTTCTGACAAGAGTATGATTAATGACT